GTCATATTAATCAGTTTATTTAACATTAATTTCCTAATGAGGGAAGAGCTCAGTTTTAGTCAGGTAGTAGTCAGGTTTCCCGAACTCTGTGGTAGCTCTCAGAGAAGCTGATTCCATCAACAGCTAAAAAATATTAGAATACTAACAGTGCCCTGTTCATACTTTTGGCGTGCATTGTTGAGGCCGCATTTGGAGCCCTTCACGGCTGTTTCAGAATGAGCTTTACGGCTTCTTGTTTTTTTTTGAAAATTTTGACTTGGGGTGTTACTAAAAATTTATAACTCTTGAAATATTAGAGATAATTTTGTTTTGTAAAAGCAATAAAAACAACAATAAAATGTTTTATCATACAACATTTAATACAATAGTAAAAAAACTTCTTTTAGTTTATAAAAAGCGCAACAAATGATGAACTTGGTTAAATTTTAGTAATTTGTTGTTACTTTTTATCAAAAAAAAAATCAGAAAAATATATTTCTGATAGTTATTATCAAATACACTCATTGTTTAACTATTAATAAAATAAAAAAATCTTACTTAATTGTTAAAAGAATATTGAAACAGTTTTTATTAAAGTCTGCAAGCAAACTGCATTTTTTGCAAAATTATCAAAAATGTTGTTAAAAAGGGGATTAGCTGTTAAATGAGCACGTTTTTAAATCTAGAAGTTCTTGTTTCAGAAAATAATTCACTAAGTTTATAAATTCAATGCATTATAAAATAAAACCAGATTTCAAGTTTAAAATATTTATTCTTAACATTTTAAGCTGAAGCCTTTAAAAAACTTGAGCAATTTTTTTCTATGCATACAGTTTTAATAATATGGTGTTAGGTTGTTAATAAATAAAGACTCTAATAAAATAATTCATGACCAAAACTGAGTTAAAGTTTTTGAATTAACCTCGCTTTTGGTAATAGAATTATTTTATGGCACTTGAACCAATTTTTTTACACAAAAATAAACGTTTCTTTAAATATACAAATAGCTAATTTAAATTGTTTGATAATGTGTTTTTATTCTCATAAAAAACTTTGATTGATCCATTAATAAGTTGATCCATGAACAAGTTCTTTAAGTACAAAACAATCTTTGAACACCCAGATTTATGCACCATTCTAAAATAAAAACCGCTTAATTTTGTTTATTTTATACTTCAAAATTCGTCTCGCTAAGAAAGTTGTTTTCATAAAATTTATTACATATTTGCTTGGGGCGTACAGAATTTAAGGTCACATGATTGTTTTGAAATGTAAACAATGTTTTGCGAATTAAATTAGAAAAATTTGTTTCTAAACTAGCCAAGTTTGAAAACATATTTCATAACATAGCTAAAGGTACAGCAAACAATTTTTTGATTTTTATATGCAGAAAGGGTTGAAATTTGAATAATTTGGTGCGGATTACAAAAATAATACAATTTTCATTATCTAATAAAATTTAAAATATAAATGCATTAAAAAATAGTTAAAAAATAAAAAAAAAGCAATCCGCACCACAAGTTAGATAGAATAGACATTTATTTATAAATATTCCAAATTTCAACCATGAGGCATGTAGCTATGTTATGAAATCTTAGTTGACCCAAAACAGGTTTTCTGTAAAAACCACAAAAAACAGAAAAGTGATCCCAAATCGTTAGCAATATTTAAACATTAATATTTCTACTTCGTTTAATGTAAATATTTATTTAAAAAAAAAAGATAGGTCTTTTATATTTTTTTATTTGAAGATGAAAGCACTTATAGGAAAAAAACACTATTATTTTAAAGTTAGTGCAATTTTAAACTTATTTTGCGGAAATACTTTTTTTTTTTTTGATAAACACAAAAATAAATGTGACGTCGTGCCTTTGTTACAGTTTATAGTTTATTAAAAGTAATGAGGCAAATGCTTGGGCTACTATATAGCGTACTATATACTATCTATGCTTTGAGTCAAGTTCTTTAACAAGTATAAAAATGAGTTAAGTACCAAAACTATAAAACACAAAAAAACATTGTCATGACCTAGTTTTTTAAACCTAACATTCACTAATATTTGTGGTCTTCGAAGTAACTTTTATTCTGTTGAATCTTATCTCTTACAAAGCTCACCAGACCTACTTGCTCTTAGCGAGACTAATTTGAGTTCAGCTGTCTCATCTTGTGATCTTAGTGTAAGTGGTTATCTTCCTCTAATTCCTAAAGACTCCAATTGTCACATGCTTGACCTGGGAATTGATATTCGTAAGAATTCACCCATTTGTCGGAAAACTAGGTTTAAATCCACCGACTATTCTTTTATGTCCTTTCGTTTAGCACTTAACTCTATTGCCATTCTCTTTGTTTTACATTGCTCTCCTTCATCTCAAGACTGCACTCTTTTGGATGTTATTTCTGATTGAATCGATCAGCCAATATTGTTGTTGTTAGTTACTTTAATGCTCCTCACACTGATTGGCTTGGCTTTAGTGTCAGTGACTCTACAGACATTAAGGCCCACAACTTTTGTCTTTCTCAACCTCTAACTCAAATAGTCAACCTTCCAACTCGTTTTCCAGACAATTAGAATCATTTACCTTCTCTACTCGACTTATGTCTTGTTTCTGATCCGAGCCAGTGCTCAGTTTCTCCACATTCACCCTTAGGTGATTCTAATAACGGTTTGATCTCTCTAAAAACTATTATCTCATTCTTCTTCTTCATCAGAATCCCCTATAATCATACCTCTTGCAACTACCTTAAAGCTGACTGGGACTCTTTTCATTATTTTCTTTCTGATGGCCCTTGGGTAAAAATCTTTTGTTTTCCTGCTGATAAATGTGCTTTTTACATAATTTCTTGGATTCAGGCTGGCATAGAATCTTTTATTCCTTCTCGGCAATTCCAAGTCAAGTGTCACCCTTCTCATTGGTTGACCTCACATTGTGCTTCTGTAATTTCCAATTGAAACCATTACTTCCATATTTATCAGCAAAACAATTCTCCGGAAAATAGATGTCTGTTTACTATTGCTAGAAGCCATTGTAAAAAGGTTTGTCTAACACCAAAACCTGCTATTCTCAGGTCATGAATTCTCATATTATATCACAAAAATCAGACTTCTGGAGAATCTTTAACAGTATAAATAATAAGGGTAAATCTGTAATTCCACCTCTCTTGCATGGTTCAGATTTCGTCACCTTACCTAAAGACAAAGCTGAACTGTTTACTAAGAACTTTTCATCAATATCATATCTTGATTCTACTAGTTGCGTTCTACCTGATATAGCTGACAAACAGGTTGATCCATTGCTTTACATTCATATCACTCCAGCTTTTATATTTAATTAGATTTCCTGCTTTGACTCTTCTACAGTTTGTGGCCCGGACAACATACCTGTTATAGTCTTGCATAAGAGTTCTCCATAGCTGTTATCTATCCTTTTAAAACTATTCAACAAGTACTTATCAGAGTCTTGTTTTCCAGCCTGCTGGAAAGTAGCATCTGTTATCCCTATTTTCAAAAATTCTGGAGAGCAATCTAACTCATCTAACTACTGTCTCATTAGTCCTCTTCCTATCATAAGCAAGGTTTTTGAATCTTTAATTAACAAACACTTAATCTCCCATCTTGAATCTAATAACTTACTTTCTGATCATCAATATGGATTTTGATTTCCTTGTTCTACAGCTGCTTTGCTAACAGTAATAACCACTAGGCTTTATTGTACATTAGATAGAGGTGGACAGGTTAAGGCTATCGCTATTGACATTTCTAAAGCTTTTGATAAAGTCTGGCATGTTGGTTTTCTTCGTAAGCTTTTTTCTTACGGTGTACATCCTTAAGATTGTTGAATCCTTCCTTTCCAATCATAAAACTTTTCATAAAATGGACAGCACTTTTCTTCATATTCCGTAACTTCAGGGGTTCCTCAAGGTTCCATCATTGGCCCTATACTCTTTTTAATTTACATTAACAATCTTCCAGATATTCTCACATCTAAGTTGGAATTGTTCGCTGATGGTACAATCATTTATTCTTGTCTTGATATGAAGGCAACACTCTCTGATTGCTTGAAAGGGGCATTTGAGCTTAAAATGGATTTCACTTCTGCTACAGTATGGTTCTCACAGTGGCTAGTGAACTTTAATTCAGATAAAACCTAATTATTATTAGCCAATCGATACAACAATAACTTAGATCTTCCTATATTTATGAACAGTGATGTACTTCTAGGATTAACTCTTACTTTTGATGTTTCTTGGAAACCATTTATCAAACCCATTACAAAATTAGCATATGCTAAGGTTGCATCGCTTTATCGTGGTCTACACTTTCTTACTTTGGATTCTATTCTTTATCTCTATAAATCTCAAATCCGTCCTTGTATAGAATACTGTTGCCATATCTGGGGCGGATCTTCCAATGATATCTTTTCTTTTTACGACAAGGTGCAAAAATGAAATGTAAACATAGTAAATAAACCACATAATTAAGCTATTTACACATATTTTGTAACACTCCTAACACATGTTATTATCTAAACACAATATAATTCAAGCTTATTTTTTAAAGTCTTAAAAATCAAGTTTCAATTGTGAAGAACATACAACTATATAAGCAAGAAGTATAACTTTTCTTTTTTTTTTTGCTGCTGTAAATAAATAGAGCATATTAGTTCAGATTAAAGACATTTTTTTTTAATTGTTGAGCTGAAAATACCTGTTCTTAAAGTGGACTTGACATTAGTAATTAGAAAATTTCAGTTTAATACATCTTTTTATTACTTACCTTAAATTTAAAATTTAAAAGCTTATTATAAATTAAAAAGTGAATAATAAATATTTTTATTTCATAGACTTAGTTTTATATATTGTGTAATATTTTTTGGGGGCAATTTACTAGAAAAAAAAACAGTTTGCACTGGGTTTTTCTGACAACAAAAATTGTCATGAAAACAAAAATTGTAAATGTTTTTGTCGTCGTTATGTAAAAAGTGAGTATGTTTGTACGTTAACATCTATAAAATTTAACTTACTTTAGATAAATTCATTGCCAAAAAATGTTATTGTATAACTTAAACTATTAACAAAAAAACAACTTAGTTGATTGTATGAACATAAAATACGGACTTAGTTTTTTCTGAACATGAACGGCGAAACCATAACGGCAGTGTCGGCCGGAGCCCAAACTATGTCAGTTTATTTCAATGAATGAAGAAGAAGAATATTTATAATAATATTTATAATAAGAATGATCAAGAAATTATTTGTGGTATGTAGACTTGTAAAAAAAATGACTCACATAGAAAAAGTTTGTGGTTTTTTGTCAGCCATATATGTCAGAAGGCTATACAGGGCCGGCGCAAGGGCCATGCAAGTAAAGCAGTTCCATAGGGCGCCGGCGTGGCTGGGGCGCCTTGCTGGCGTAGCCAACGTTTTTTTTTTTCTTTATTTTAATTTATTAAAATTTTAACTTTTGATTTTAAAAAAAAACATGAGGGGACAGTTTCTTGCATTTGTTAATGTCTTAGAAACAACTGGCCAAGGGTTGACAACATGCTTAATACTAATAATTCATTATCATAACCATTTTGCCATGCATATTTTGTAAGGATGTTCTTTTTTTTAATATTGGACGAGCTTTTAAAAAGAAAAACATCCTTGCAAAATATACATGGCAATGGTTATGATAACGGATTAAACATGAAGTGAAAGAACGAAGGCGTACAAAAAAAGATCCTTGATCTTGACCCACGAGCTTTTTTTTGTTTTTTGTGAAAGTCATTCACTAAAACTTGTTGTTAATGATGCGGAATTTTCCTGCACTCTAGCTGTTAACTTTTTCAGCAATATTTAGGAGATTTATAACTTTTTTTCTGAACCCTTAAATGGAGTACATTAACAAATTATGTAAACAATTTGACTATTAATCCTCCAAGTAAAACCCGTGGGGATAGCAGAATAGACGCCTTTAATTCTTTACGATACCACATTGATGAGGTTTATGACGCTGTATAATCAAAAAATTTTAAGAATGATAGCTTTTATATCGCTATGGGAGTTGCCAAGAAAATTATAGATTTCACATTCTTCTACTCTGGTACAATGTCTCGTTCAAATTTAGTAAGCAAAATTAATTTGCTTACTAAAGTGATACTAAAGTGTTTTGCTTACTAAATTAATTTAGTAAGCAAAACACTTATAATGAAAACTGTTAATCTGCAGAGCGTTTTGAAACTAATTGAAAGTGTCAAGACTTTTTTGGAGAACATGAGATCGGAAAATTGGCTGTAAAGTGTTTTTATAAATTAGGGCTCTACCGGATTTAATTTTTTCAAATCCGGCCATAGCCGGATTTGCCGGATTTCTACTGACAGATCCGGCCGGAATTGGAGTCGGAGCCGGATTTCAAAACAAAACTACAGGAGCCAAAATCCTGTACATCCCTACTTGGTGTTGAGCATGGTCAACAATGTGGACTATTCAGAATACCAAGTGACTGCTGTTTTCTGTTAAACTTCGTTGTTGTTATTTAAAAAGTTTTATAGCAATTTCTATATATAAATTAATAGAAATTCTAAAGAAATTCTATAGGCCATATGTTTTAAAAGTTTATAGTAATTCTGTTTAACTTTTTTTCCGGGATTTTGTCACTCCGCCACTGTAGTGGATCATTGTGTCTATTTATTTCTGGTTCTTTCGGATATTTCCTTAGATGAATTTTAATGCCTTTTAGTAATTGTTGTTTATGTGCCCTGCCACCAGCGGACGTAGACTGAATAATTTTATCAATAAATTGCCAGAGTAATGATGATGATGATGTAGAAAAATTATTAAGCCCGGCTTATTTTGGTGGATTTTCTTCAGTTTTGTCAATTTTCTGTTCAGCATGCTCAGATTGACTTCAATTTTGTTTTTTCAGCTGTCAGTGTTGCCTGTAATGAGGAGAATTTAGTTTTAAATTGTGAGTCAACCAGCCTCGTCAGTATATAAAGAGTTTTCTTTTTTCAATGCTTTTAAAACGCTCATCCAATCACTTGATTAGGGTTGACATCATAGTCTTTATACCTGCATCATTGTAGAATATCGTGTGTCTTCCCTTCAGAATTTTTTGTTGCGTTGTTGTTTGAAATTAGACTAAGCTTATTAAATTATAAAGAAATATAAATCCAAATACCAAAACAAATATGAGGTTCATAAAATATAGAATTACAAAAAAAATTTATTTTTATAAATAAAATATTAGGTATACATGTAAACACGGGCAAAAAAAATGTAATAAATATTTGACAAAATTCAAAACTCCGGCTAAAATTATGCCGGATTTGCTAAATTTTTGCCGGAGCCGGATTTGGGCCGGATTTGAAAAAATGGCCGGATTTCGGCCGGAGCAGGAGCCGGAGCCGAAATCCGGTACAGCCCTATTATAAATGTTATGAAAAAAATGTAAAAAAACTGGACATCGAAGAGATCTTAAAGAAACATTTACCGACTGCCAACTATAGATCCAATTTTGCCAACTCCATTGTTCAATATGCCGATTAATAAATTTCGTAGATGGGCTAGTCACCCTCCTACTCTCCCCTTCGGGATGCCTCTGCATCGATCTAAAGTTTGCTGATGAAATCGTGGTCAAGCCAAGAAAGATTGAAAAGCAATTTTACTATGAAGATGAATCTGTGAAGTCGGCAAATTTTTTAAAATTTGTTATTTGTAGTTTTAGACACTGCATTTGATGAAAGATTTGAACAGATGGAAAATCGCAGGAAACATTTCGAATTCCTCTATAACATAAGAAATAAAAAATGTGAAACAGATGCAGTTAAAGAAAAGTGAAAAAACTTGCACTTCGTTTTGACAGTTGATGGCAAGAGTTACGTCAATAGGAATGAACGTGAAATTATATTTTTAGCTCCAACGTTGCCAAACAATAAATATAACGATAGTTTTCCCAAAACTGTCAATATATTCAAACCTGTTTGATTGACATCATTCGTGTGTGCGTAGTATTGAAAATTTTGCTTTTATTCCCCATATTAGTGGGCAGCGGAGAAAACGAGTTTTTCTAAATTAACAATTTTTAAAAAACATTTATGCTAGTAACACTTATTCTATTTCTATTTAAAATCATATAAAAATATAAACTCTCAAAATATTATTTGTATATATATTTTTAAAGGATACACTTTTTTTATAACAGGGGGCGTCAAACGGGCGCCAAAAAAAAATCCCTTAACCGGCCCTTCGGCTTTAAAAGGTTTTGAACTTTATGAAATTTTTCAGACGCTTTTTATTTATTTTTATTTTTTTTACTTATTATTATTATTATTATTATTACTTTGTAATTATTTTGTTGCTCCCAGAAGTCTTTACAGTCTTATTACATGGGCTCTGAACAATAACTAAAGTTTTTGAGCTCAACTCTAGCTTTTAATTAGGTAAGACCAAGGCAGGCGCGATAGGGGGTATGAGGGGTGTGACACCCCTTCATACTCCCCTTTTTAGTAGGCAAATTTGACCCTTATTTTATCCCCCTTTAGTTTAGTCTTTTAAATTTTACCCCCTTTTTAGCCAGCAAATTTGACCCTTAGTCGGCAAATTTGACCCTTTTTGACGAGTTAGTCAGCAAATGTAGAGCCTGTCGATAGGTCAGTCGGTAAATTTAAACAAAATTTTTTTTTTTTTAAACAAGTCTTTTAAACTAGTTTTTTAATTTTTTTTTTTTTTCTTTTTCTTGTAATTTTCAAAATCAAGCTGTGTTGCACCTGTTTAAATTTTTAATCTGCTTTTTTGTTTCGGTTTTAAAAGGTATATAATCACGTTTATGTAGTTTATAAAATTTTATTAATAATATCATTATTGCTATTAATAAAAAATATTATATTTTTATATAAAAATATTTACGCTTTGAAATTATAATTGCAAAATAAATAAAAAAATCATTTGCGATGACTAATTTAACACTAACTCAATTAAAACAAGTCGATAACGCAATTTAAAAACTTCTTTATGCTGAATCTGCAAAATGTCTGACCAAAATATCCGAACTAGAGCAAGTCATAAAGCAACAACAACAGGAGTTAGATCAACTTGTTCTAAACACTAATAAACAAACTATTAAAACAACCAGAAATATTGAATCCAGTTGGGTTACAGTTGCAAACAAAAACAAAACCTTTGAACCAGGGGTGGCGGAACAGTGAGGGCTTTGGGGGCTATTAAATCGAGAATTTTTTTTCTTCTGTAATATGCGATGAAACTCGATTTTCGGTATTGAGCAAATGTTCAATCAGTTTCTGAAAATTTTACGAAGTTTCTGAAAATTTTACGAGTTTCTGAAAATTATACGAAGATTTTCTTGGTCTCTATGTAATTGATGCTACCGACAGTAAGTCGCTTTTTTATGCAATATGTTATGTTTTATTAAGATGTGGGCTAGACAAGAAAATGGTGCGGGATAAAGTTACAATGGAACCGCTTCAATGTCAGCTTTTCTTTTAAAGCTCTGAGTGGTCTTGAACTTATTTATAATATCTATGACCGTAGATTTTGGGGCATTTGTACGTTTAGCAATTAAGCAATATAAAGTTGATGGATTTTTGCAAAAAAATTCACAACTTTTTAACGTACCTCAATTTGTTTCCGAAACATTTTGCAAATCATTTACTTGTAAACAAAAGTTTATCAACACAATTAAGAATAAGAAAGTAACGTTTAATTAAAAAAAAAAAAAAGAAATAAAAAGGATTTGTGGTTTTAGAGAAATCTCAGTTTAAAGTTGACCGCATTTTTCCGTGTCCACCCTAACACCCATATTAAAGAGTCTAGGGGAGAGCGGGGTTGGTTGTCACACTTTTTACATTTTAGGCTGCTCAGCTTTTAATTTTCATCCAATCAATGCCAAACTTTGCACAAAGCTAGTTTAACTATTTTCAGTAACTATTATAATATTTTTATGACATTGAGTGAAATATTTATTGCTGTAAAATCATTTTTCAAAGACCACTTCTGTGTGACAACTAGCCCCGCTCACGGGGTAGGTTGTCACATGGTGCGGGGTTGATTGTCACATTTGGATTTTGACAAGTTTAGATAAGAATTTAATGTAAAACGAGTACAAATTAATTTCGTTTATGTTTTACTAAGAAAAATAAAAATAAAATACTATAAACTAAAATATATATTTTTTAAATATAACACAATTAACAAATTTAGTTTATCACTATAAATGTTTTTAGGTTTGGTTTTTTAAAAATTATTGGATAAAGAACACAATTCACAAATAAACTGTTGTAAGCCTGGTGTGCATTCTTCATGAGCCCATTTTTGGCAAACCTGACATTGAATCCACTGTTCTCTTGATCGGCTGTTGGAAAATGATTCAAAACAATAGATGCACAGATACTCTTCATCTTCAGATGAATTCAAGACTATAGAAGGTTTTTTCGTAGCAAGATTTGATTTTATTAATTCTTTTTTACTTCCATTAGTAAATTTTTTTTTATTAGTTTTCTTCTTTTTATAATTAGCAAGCCATGATTTGACAGGCGTGTTAGTAAGAATCATAGTTGACCGCTTTTTCCTACCTCTTTTTGATGCTAACCTCGGGCCTGCTTTAGGCAGAGGCCTAATACTCTCAGGTGGTATGATTGAATTGTTAAAACCTAATGTTGTGATTGGGTTCTGATTAGAGGTTTTATTTGATACAACTGGATCTTCTATTGTTATGTCTACCTGATTATCTGGTATCTGAATAGATTCTTTAAATCTTTTATTTGATGGTTCTGGTTGCATTGAAAAGATTCACAGTCTTTTTTATTTGAATCAGCCTGTGAACAAGGTGGGTCAGGGCGATCAGTTACATAGTTAGGACAGTAATCATTTTCAGTAAACACATCAGGATTTAACGGGTAAATACCTGTTGCAGAAAAACCACTTAAAATATTGTGGGGAGATACAGCCTTTGGAAATGCAATGTTTCCAGGATTCATTACTAACAATGATGTCATAGCAGTATTTATGTAGTTTTTGAGAGGACCATAAACTGCCTTATCCAAGGGCTGCAACTTATGTGTGCAATGTGGTGGGAAGGTAAGCATTACTATTCCATTATTTTTTGCCAAATCTAATCCTTCAATACTAAGATAAGTTTAGTGATTGTCAAGCAACAATAAACAAGGCTTTTCTTTAGTAAATTTTGTATTGCCTACAAAATGTTTTAGATATTTTACAAAGTTTTCTTCTTTCATCCAACCACTTGGATTTGTATCTCCTGCACTTGCTGTTGGTGCACTGAATAGGAAACGATCTTTAAAGTTTTTACGAGGAAAAATAAAAAAGGGTGGAATACTATTTCCAATAGCATTTATTGTGCATGCTAATGTTACAAGAGTTCCTCTTTCAGCTGACGTTATGGCTCCTACTTGTTTTAATCCTTTTTTCGCAATAACCTTTTTAGGTTGCTGTACAGTAGTTACAGCAGTTTCGTCCATGTTCCAAATGTCATTTGGTGAGAATGAGTATTTTTGCATACAGTGCTGCAAATTGCTAAAAAATGATGCAACATTCTGCTTATTGAAACTTGTCGCTCGACTTAAACTAGTAGCTTCAGGTTGCCTAATGGAAATATTTGAATGGCGCTTTATAAATCCTGTAAACCAATCCTTACCAGCTTGTTCCTTTACAACCCAAGAATTGGGAACCTTAATATTATTTTTAATTGCTAGCTGGAAAGCAAGCCTTTTTACTTTGGTAGGAGTTAAACCAAAATATATATCTGCTGCTCGCAACAGGTAGGTGACCAGTTCTTTTTCTACTTTTTCTGGCAATATCAATCAACTTTTGTATCCTATAACATTCAGGGAGGTGGGGTTTTCAATTTTGTCAATTAGATCTGCTATAGAACCATGTGATGGGTTAGTAATAACAATTTTTTTACAATAACGTGCTAATGTTCTGTAATTAATGCCATGGTTTTTTGCTGCTGATCTAATAGAAATGTTATTAATATTTACATCTTTAACAGCACACATTATGACATCTCCAGAAGTATAACCTCTATTAGTTTTTCTTTTAAACTTTCGTACCATGTTTATTACTAAGCAAATAAAAATATTTGTAAATAATGTAAACAAAACATTAATATATATATATATATATATATATATATATATATATATATATATATATATATATATATATATATATATATATATATATATATATATATATATATATATATATATATATATATATATATATATATATATATATATATATATATATATATATATATATATATATATATATATATATATATATGTATATATATATATATATATATATATATATATATATATATATATATATATATATATATATATATATATATATATATATATATATATATATATATATATATATATATATATATATATATATATATATATATATATATATATATATATATATATATATATATATATATATATATATATATAAACCCACTAAATATAAACAACGCACAAACTAAACAACAGCTAGTTGTTTAGTTTGTAAACAAAACAATAAACAGTTGAACTTCTGCAATCCTTTTTCTATAATTATACTAAACATTGGATCGGAATCTAAAGTTATGCACGTTGAAATAAAAATAATTTAGATTACAGATATTTAGTTAAACATATATAACACTTTGACTTTCGATTTTTAAATAATATCTCAAACATTAAAATATTCCTCAATAATGCGGAAAATAAACAAAGCCACTAAATATTCTGCAAGCGGCGTTTATGCAGCGCATGGAGTCGAGGCAAGTGTGACAACCATCCCCATAAATTTTGTGACAAGCAACCCCTTCTGAGTAAGTTGCTGGACACCTGTACATTTAGCTAAAAGCGTGAGAATTTCATGATAATTTTTTACGGATTAAGTTACTCAAATGAATAAAGTACTTTATAAATCTACATTCAAAACACAATAAAATAATTTTCGTTTCGTAAAAGAAAATTTCTGAGTAGGCGAAATTTTACTTTTTCATATCAAAAACCTATAAAAACAAATAACTTTTCTTCTCCACGCTAAAAAAAGATAAAAATTACTGTAAAAATGTTTTTTTTATATTACATTTCCATTGTATAATTTGAAATTTCTATATCTTATTTACATTTCTTGTAATAAACTTTGTGACAACCAACCCGCGTGACAACCAACCCCGCTCTCCCCTACTAAGTTATCAGATGCAGAATAGCAAATCGATAATACGGAAACGGTTCAGAAAATATTAACTACCATCGCATCTGATGCAAAACCGAAGTTTGTAAAACGTATTAAATCTATGTCCTCTAAATAAGGACCAATTATCGTCGAATTATCAGATGTTTCTGAAAGAAACCAATTACTTACATCAGCAAAAAATTTTAAAAATTTAGATGACTACAATAATAGTTACTACTCTAATGCAACATCCCTTGATAAATAAATGAACGATTTATTTGTAATAGCTAGAACGTTTGACTATCATGTTTTTGCTGTCTCCGAAACATGGTTTCGAAATGATTCAGTTCCTAACATCAATGGGTATAATTTATATCGCAAAGATCGCTGTGACGGACGTCAAGGTGGCGGTGTAACTATCTATAGTACTGACTTATTTAACTCTCACGAAAATAATCAGTTCTATACAAACCCACTTGAACAAGTTTGGGTATCAGTAAAAGTTAATAATAAACGCATACTTATTGAGTGTATATATAGACCAAATGATGCTAATCTAATAAACTGTGTCCTTGAATCTTTCAAATTAGCTCATAGCTTAATTTGGAAGCCCTATGGTGACTGTTTGATCGGTGATTTTAATTTCCCGAATATGATTGTCTAATAATGTGGTCTAATAATGGTATTAAATCTTTGAAACCAAACAATTCTAACAAGTATGAGTTTTAAAACCAAAACATTTTGTGCCTCTTTACACAACACATCACATTTCATACTTTTCAGACAACCTATGGTTACCAAAAAATATGTTGGACTTATTATTTAGGGTAACCGGGGGCTAAGCGAGACACCGATGCAAAGTGAGACATTTAGATTTTCTAGCTTTGTACAGATTTTTTTGGAAATGATATAGTAATTTTTTTTTATTATATTAAAAATTTCATGTTTCATTTATGTTTTAAAGTAGTTTCCATCAGTTTTTTCCCATAATATGACATAGAAAAATGGGTTTAAAGCTTACGAGTTGCGTCAATTTGATTAAAAAAGTTAATTTTTTTTTTTGTGGAAAAAATTGATGTAAGCTGCCATTTTTTACCACAGAACAAACATACTACTGAGTTTGTAATAATTTATTTGTTATCTTTCAGCTGCCATTTTTCTTTTTATGTCAAATTATTTTGTTTCAAATATATTTAAGAAATATATAACTTCACATTTACGGAGAAAGTGCGACAACGCTAATTACAGAAAAAGATCGTCAAAGTTAACATTTAGTATAGCAAGTTTATAAACTTTATAAATCGTCAAAGTAAACGTTTACGATAGCAAGTTTATAAACTTTATAAATCGTCAAAGTAAACGTTTACGATAGCAAGTTTATATACTTTATAAATTGTCAAAGTAAACGTTTACGATAGCAAGTTTATAAACTTTATAAATCGTCAAAGTAAACGTTTACGATAGCAAGTTTATAAACTTTATAATCGTCAAAGTAAACGTTTACGATAGCAAGTTTATATACTTTATAAATTGTCAAAGTAAACGTTTACGACAGCAAGTTTATAAACTTGCTATTATAAATGTTTAAAAAGGCTTTACTTGAAAGTAGTTTACATACTAATTTACTTGGAAGTTTTAGAAAAGCGCTTTCTGATAACTTAGAACAAGATCTAAATAAGTATATTAAAGATATTGGCAATTCATTTTATGGTCTATCAATGATGGATATTAGATTGATAGTATTTGAGTTCTGCAAAAAAAAATTTAATTTCAAATCCAACAAAAACCACATTATATGCACCCGGAAAACCACGTTGATTTTTTGATAGTTTTTTCAAAGATTTGAAATAATTTCTTAAATCATTTATATGATTTACTCTAAGATAGTTTCTGTTTGTCATTGATAAAAAAGTTTAATTTTTTTTCTTAATTTGCAGTGGAAACACTGCCATTGAAGCATGTTATGTTTTTTTTGTTTGCTCGTCAATCAACAAAAACTTTGTGCGAGGCTTTTTAAAATGCCATTCGATTTATAACTAAGAAAACCTGAAGCAATATCTATAAATAGAGTATTTGGTTTGAACGAAGATAATATTAAAATCTATTTTAGGAATTTAGAGAATTTGTTTGATAAATATCACTTTACGCCAAATCAATTTTTAAATTGTGATGAATCTGGGTTGGACATCTACAGGAAAACGGTGTGTTTTATCAGTGACAATTGGGGAAAAAGGAGTCACAACAACAGTTTAATGTGCATGTAATTCTGTTGGTCATTATGTACCACCCATGATGATATTTAAGCGCAAAAAAAAGAAATTATTACTCACAGATAATGCTCCAGTTGGAGCTATTCAAGGATGCTCAAAATATGGCTGAGGTAATACTGATTTATTTCTTGAATATATACAACATTTTGTTAAACATGTACGATGCACCTTGATCAACAAAATTTTACTTACTTTTAACGGTCATCGTTCTCATATCAAAAGCATAAAACTTATAGACTATGCTCGTGACAATGTATTATTTTTGCTACCGCTACCACCACACACAACATATAAACTTCAACCATTGGACCGCAGATTTTTTAAGCCTTTGAAAACCTTTTTTAATCAAGCATGTATAAGATAGATGCGAAACCATTCAGGAAGACGAATACACACAAAAAATCTCGGAGAAACTTTTAGTGAAGAATATTTAAGAGCTGCTAATATGGAAAATGTTACCTAAAGTTTTAAAGCAACTGGACTTGTCCGATTTAACCGGCATTTGTTTGAAAATGAATATCCAAGGATATCTTTGAGTGATAATAATAATAAAATCAGGTTATCCTGATGTGGATACACAAAGACTGAACATTAAACGATGTTTGCTTTTTATGTGAATAGATTTTATTCAAATATTTTGATATGCATTTTTTTTTATTGATAGTATTTTTTTAATTCCTACCATATTTTTTGATTTAATACGAAAAATTACATTATAAACCCAGTAGATACCAAACCAAAAAAAGACGTCTTTTGAACGTTCAAAAGACGTCCAAAACGTTCAAAAGACATCCAAAACGTGTCTAAGACGTTTAAAAGACGTCTTTTTTACGTCCGTGCTCACTGGGAAATGATACCTTAGTGTTTTTATTTGCATTTTTATATTTAATCAGATTGAATTTATCAAAAGGCTGCTTTAATTTTATTTAAAATTATGTTTTTACTTAAAATTATGTTTTTTCTTTAAATAAAATCTGTCTCACTTTGCCCCAGATTTTGGAAAAAGTGAAACAGGGTAGTTTTTGCCATTTTGAATTTAATTATGTACCAATGCAACAACCTATTCACCCCAAATATTTAAGAGATCATTAAACACACAATAGGCTAGAGGCTTGCAAAATTTCTAGTTTTGAAACGTGTTAAGAACATTCTCCTTCAAAGTGTCGCGTTTTGCCCCAGGTTACCCTACCTACAACAATAATTCTTTTTTAAATTTGTCTCCTAGTTCTATACTAGGGTCTATATATATATATATATATTATATATATATATATATATATATATATATATATATATATATATATATATATATATATATATATATATATATATATATATATATATATTAGTGTTGCGAAGGTAAAACTTACCGGAACATTTTCCGGTAAATTTACCGGAAAGTTTTGAAAATTTACCGCCTGGTAAATTTTGAAAATTTTTTTCACTTATTTTTTTTTCTTTTTTTTTTTTTGATTTTTTAAAGGAAAATTTACCGTTCTCTAATTAAAATTTACCGGTAAATTTACCGGTAAATTTTACCGGTAAATTTTGAATCAAATTTTACTGGAAAATTTACATCACTAATATATATATATATATATATA